CACACACACACACACACACACACACACAGTTTCTTCACGTGCAGTCTCCTCAAGGCCTCAGATGATATTCCCTCAGTCTCAGAGTGCTGGGCCTTGTGTGCGCAGTGAACCCGGTGACTTCTGAAGAGGTTGAAGCATTATTACCATATTATCAGAGGGGTAATTTGGGGCATTATTTGGGGCACATGCTGCTCCACGGGGCCTAGGGTCTGTTTTGGAAAGTCATTCTTTTTCAGACAGAGCATTTATTTACCTACAATATATTGTTCCAATTTTCACCGCCTCCCCCCGTGCGTCCCCCCTCTCCGGAGGCCTCTCAGAGCCCAGAGTTGATGCCAGTATGTGGATGACGTGCAGTAGGGAGTTAAAGGGAAAGTAAGAAAGAAGAATAGGCTATTCTCAATGAGTGTTGCACTGATTATGTTTCAAATCACTCAATGCAGATAGATTTTGAGAAAGTAGAATGTACATGTTTTCCACTGAACGTTTAAAACAACCAGCGAATAAGTGATTGCACAGTGTTTGACCCAGGTTTCCACAAAGTTCAGATCTGAACAATTCAGTAAGTAACAAAAGCTCCTCAGGATGACTCTGATCGCTCTGTCTGCTGTCCCAGCGATCAAAGCACATGCTGTCGACTCCATCTCAGCTGTGCACTCCACCCAAGGCTATTGTTACTGCACTGGCAGACTCCGCTGTGTATGGGAAAGTCACTAAGACGTTGGCAACAGGATATGTGATCGGACGAAGGAGACGTCTAATATGACTTGAAAAGCCCAAACGTTTAGGAGCCTTTTGGAAGATGAGATCGTAAGCTGTAGATCGTGTAGCTCACAGGGTCGTCATGATGTTGTTCTATAAAATTTGATTTAAAAGCACAACTTGAGATTTTTGTTAATAAAACCCTGTTTCATTCATAGGTACGCAGACAGAGTTAGAGGATTGATGCTCCTCACACATGCTTACGATAAATATGAAGCCAGAGCTAACCAAGATGAGTCCACAGCAAAAATAACAAAGATAACAAATAAAGAAAAGAATTAATTTGTATTGTCGTACTGTGGACCAACAATGTTTTCAACCAGTCAGCTGGTCTGTGACAAACAGGAATTGTTTGTGTGCACCTTAACTTTTCCCAGTTACCACAGTTTAACTTCTATTAGGTTACAGCAAAAATAAAGTCAAAATAATACTGTTGTGACAGAACCTCCACCTGTGTAAATACTGAGGTGTTGCAACACTCGAATTGCAGCAAAGTACAAAAAACAAAAAAAGCCAACCCACCCAGTTACTGTCAAGATACAATATTTCAAAATCACCAGAGCTTAACAATTATTTCAGTGCAATGAGTCGATCTTCAACCAAGCATAGAACAGCCTACACCACAGAATCCTTGTATCACATCATGTCACTATTCAATATTTGGATCTATACAAATACAGTTAAGTGCAAAGGTTTAAGGGCCCCTGTGCAAATGCTACATTTTAAACCACAAAGACATTAAAACAGCCTATCTTCTGATTTTAATGTACTTTTTATTTCATGAACTTTAAGATAATTAGAAGTTAAACTAAGTGTGGCATTTGCAAAAGTTTGGGCACCATACCAAGGTAGTAAAGTATGAAGAACATGCATTTTAGGACTACAGAAACAGTGCATTACTGTCAAGGATGAGGCTTATTTTAATGTGCATTAGCTGATCTTATATTCATTTCCTTTCATTTTATCAATCAACCAAATGTTAGTTTGGTTAGAGGTGTCCAAACTGTAGGTAAGATGTTCAGTTCCATAATGAAAACAATACAAATTCTAAAAGTTGTGGTATATAAATGAATTAATATCCATCCGGATCTTAATCATAGTCACAAACAAGGCATGGAAAACACTGAAGGGGCGGTGCCCTGTGCATGCACTGCATACCCCCCATTAGACAATGCTATCTTTTTCATGTCATTGATACAATATGATGAGGAATGATTGGTTGATAGGATGAAGATTTGTGTGATTCCTGATTCTAATGTTATTGGTTTGCAAAAATGAATGCGTCACTAGACACTATAACATTATTTTCTGACTTCATAGTGTCGTCATGATGATACCATATGATTGTTAATTCATTTTCTATGTATACAAGCCTCAGGTCAGGTCTTTAGTCCTGTAGGATGCAGAGATAGCTCCAAAAATTATTTGAAAAAACTACTAATATGAACTATGCATGATGTCATTTTCTGCCTTTGTGACGCTTATCACCTGTATGACATCATACAATGGGGAATAATTTTCTGATCAACATAATATCTGTTCACTATTATTTACGTGTTCTTGTGCACCATATTTTTGAAGACCTTGATCTGCTCCATAAATGAATCATCAGGAGATAATTCCAGCTGTGCCCCTCAAATCTGTGAGTTTTTGTTTTGAACTGTTTGGTGACAGATGTTGCCCAAGGTCTCGAACTTTGGCCCTAAGTCATTCAGAAACTCAACATCATCTCCCAGGTTGCTGAGTGACAGCTCATCCAGTGACGCACATATGCTGTCGTCTCCCTCGTAGGCAAAGCAGAAGGGCTGGTACATCGGGTGGTCGATAAGGTCTCCATCAATCACGTGGATTCTCTGTGGAATTGAGTAAAATTGATTTTCTGGGTCAGTCTGTCAAAAAGAGTTGAATGCATATACAAACACACACAGTATGACTTTTTCTTAAATTGCTTGAGACAAAGGAAATAATAGTGATTTTGTTCTCATCCATGTCCTGCATTTGCTTCTCATTGAATTTATTCTCATTCACTATATCATAATTGTGGCCTGTCCTTCAGTCAGTGCTGTGCAACCGATACAGCTAGTCGAATTTGATTATCAGTTAAGATAAGTGCCTTATGAAAGCATTAAGAGAGGATGCACAGCGTTCAGCTCTTTGTGATCTTACCCGTTCGATGCAAACTGCGAGGTGTTGATTTGACCGCATGCGGAAAGACCCTGTGCGCCTTGTTGAGCCTTCCTGCATGGGTTAAACACATGGGGTTCTCACTGCCTTGTTAACAAGTCAAAGACATTTATATTTTGCCTACTTATGAAATCATATTCCATTATTAGAGAGCACTACTTACCCAGTCGATGATTCTCCTGCTTGGCTTCCTTGATAAGTGCTAAAATTAAGAAAACAAGTATAAGGTACATTTAGTCTTCTATACCTTCTGCCTTCAAAATCCTCTCTTTAGCTCCCTTTCTTCAAATGGTTTTAGGACATCTTCCTCTGGATCCAGCACCATGAGTATATATGTATATATATGTGTGTGTGTGTAAACAGGATTATATACACTTAATATATGGAAATTGCACAGACAGAAACATTGGAAATGCCAGAGTCAACAAATTGTAATTTATAAAACTAATTAATAAATCAAATAATTGTCCTCAGGAAACATGTTTGCACTCACCTTGTTCTGCCCTCCAAGTTTTGTAAAATCGTCCCTCTGACGCATTTCACATAAGCCCATGTTAGAATGACTCTGTCAGTGACACACATTAAAGTTAACTCGGGTTAGAGGAGCATAGTAAGACAAGAACAAGGCCTGTTTCAACCACAGATGTTTTAAGTCATATCTGCGCTGAAAGTTAATTTATTCTTTGTGCAATCCCCATTTCAAAAAGTTGTGCTACTTTAAATCATTTCTTTAAAATCTACAGGATACAAGTTTTCATTTTATAGACTGTCAAACATAAAATATTTTTTTACTCACCACGGTGAACCCAGAGGTATCATTCTTTATTATTACAGGATCCACATTATGGATCTATTTGAGGAGAGAAAATTAGTAAAGCAGACCCCTGTAAAATGTGTAACAAGTCCCTCCTTGCAGATACTCCAGATAACTTCAAATGGCTGGTATCTGGCTATACAGGTAAAGTTCACCCTGTGAGATACCTGTCACACAATCCACAAAAACCCTGTAAATAAAGTCATAAATATGTCTAAAACAGACAAGTCAACCTCTAAGAACAGCAGCTGGATTAGAGCTGTAATTTACCGTGAAGGTTAAGACCTGTGTTTTCTAAAACTGTTTTCCCTGTTTTGCTTACTTAGGTTTTTTAATGCCTGCCTTTTGACCCACACTAACACATAAGACCTGTCTGTTCAAATGTCAACCACAAAAAAGGGGAATGAAAGGCAGCTGAGTGTGGCGGGATCAGGAGTACCTGCCGGGTGGTACTCAGGCTGTCTGTCACAGTTACTCCATTTGAAGATGGCAAGAGCCGAGTGGGCCTAGCCTGGCAGATAGGGAGAAAACAAATTAAACAATGCAGAACCCCTCAAACTGGGTATAATATAGCATATGATGTCACTGCCTTACTCACAACTACCAACTCACTGTGCATGCAGCGCCACCTCCTTCTTGGTTGTACTTGATAAGGGTCTGGTTGCCCTCATCCCCTGCGATGGGGATGTGATTGAACGCCCTTTTTCCAGAGTTGCATATAAAGAGGAGTAGCAGCACTGCAGACACGCATCAAATAAACATTCAAGAACAGAGCGCATTTGTTGTGTTTTCAGGGAACTACCACATCCCTCAGCTACTGTAGGTTTATTGAGCAGAAACCTTATGGTTTTGTTAATGTGTCCATTGACTGCTGAATACTCACACAAAAATATCAGCAATCCTAGAAAAATCAATCCAATACCAGCGGCCCCGAGGCTGGATGAGATTGGTTCTCTGGCTCGACAGACGTCTGCTTTTCCACAGTCGCACACTATCACTTCCACGGTCTCACGTGCGTTTGTGGCCTGTTGGTCCTGAATCTCCAGGGGCACTGAGTAGTTGCCGTAAGGAAGTGAAGTTAGGCTAACAAGGCCACCTTCCATTCCTAGAGAACATTGTAAATAAAGTTAGATATAGGGACGATTTATCTGAATGACACGGGTTAAATGCTAAGTACTAACCAGAAGCAGGGTCTAGTTTCCATTGTTGCTTCAGATTATCAACATCACCTCCCAGAGAAAAGGCAAAGGGCCCACTATATGGAGGATTATCTGAGTCTTTAGCAGGCACCATGACCTTGTTGCCCTTGTTTCCACACAAAATTACGCTTTTGTGGACCAGCTTTGGCGTGTTGTCATTGATATCCCCCAGGTGGATCAGGACTCTGCATGTACCTGTGGCTGGAGGCATACCTTGGTAACCAAAGTTAAGGAAAAACGTCACTTTCAGCAATGAACCATGCAGCTCGTGTTTGATTACAATACACAATGGAGCTCCTTCATACCGTCATCTACGGCCAAGATGGCGACTTTGTAAATGCCTTTCTCATCAACAAAGGGTGATTCTCTGTCCATTTTCTTAGCCGATGTGATTTGTCCTGTAGCCTCATTAATGGTCATCCAATGCGCTGGATCTTCTGACAGCGAAAACCTGATCACAGATAGGAGATATTGGAGAGTAGAGAAAAACCTATGGTCTCTGGCCTACCCCCTTGTAACAAGTTAATAGAAAATGTGGAGGAGCCCATGTGAGAACTCAGGAGATCCCTCGCAGGATTACAACTTTGATTGAGTAGGGGGGGTAGATGACATTTCTAACAAATGGCTGAAGCAAAAGAAAAAAAAAACCTCCAAAGAGAACGGTGACTGTCTGAAAGGTTGTGCTCAATGCCAAATGTGGAAACAAATTTAGCAGAAATTCACTAATTTGGCACCAACCTGATCTTGTCTATGTCAGAGTCGTCGTCATCAACCTTTGCAGTGAACAGCAACTTCCCCGGCTCCTCCTCTTCCTTTAGGTACAAATGAACTGTGTCTTTCTCAAACTGCGGTGGGTCATTTACATCAATCACTTTTATTGTGATGTTGACCTTATGTAGAGGTGGAAGTGTGACTTTGCCGGTTGATTTGTCTGCACAAGCAAAAAGGGGTTCCTCATTCTCTACTCCGATCTCCAAGGTTGTTACAGTTGTCTTCTCAAAATCCTTCCCCTGGAAAGACATGCAGGTTTAGATCAATACTGTTGCAACGTATATTCATGATGTTTCATGTTTGTTGAACTTTAACTTGGTCCACTGTGAATAGATGTGGTTTCTAATAGAGTGAGATAAGTTGAATTACCTTAATGACATTCAGAATACCCTCATTTGTGTTGGGGTCAGTTTCAATTTGGAAGTATTCTTCCTCATCTTTGTCTATGATGAAATATTTGGCCCGCCATGCAGGAGTTTCAAGAGTGTCTTTGTCTTCTACTGCAACTCTCAAGACATCTCTTTTGGTCACTGATTCCGATACCTCAACATAGTACTGGACAGACAGGACAGATTTATCACATACATCGTACGTCACCCCAAGATCAACTTTATTAATAATAATAATAATAATAATTATATTGATGAGGAGGATGATATCCTTGCCTGATTTTCCTTGAACTTTGGTGGATGAGAGTTTGTGTCAACAATATTGAGAGTAACAACAACAGTGGAGGAAAGAGGTGGTGTCCCATGATCTTTTGCTTGAACAATAACTTCATATGTCTTGATTTTCTGTAACAGATATAAACATGTTTGGACTTTTTTAAAACATTATATTGAAATATCAGTATGAGTGTGTATTGCTGTTTATATGCAGCTAGAAAGTAGGTCACTGAGCCTCACATCGTAGTCAAAACATCCTTTAAGTTTGAGCTGAGCCATCTGGTTACTGAGCTGTTCAACTCCAATCTTGGGCTCTGCCGGTGTCTGTGAAATTATACTGACGGTGACCGAAGAGTTAGGTGTGTTCTGTTTATCTTTGTCAATGAAATTCAGCTCCACTGGCAAGAACCCTTTAGATCATTATGGAAAGGAAGCACAAAATAATGAACGTGTTACACAAAGGTAGGAAGTGAGGAACAAGATAATTAAAAATGACAAAGCATGAGTGTGATACAGGATAAAAGACCAGATTTGAAATTATTATTATCTCACATCGAGGTTTGACCGCCTCGACTTTGTGGGAAGTCTTTTATAGCCATACAAACAAGATTACTCTGAAACGACATGGATTTTTTTCTAGAGGGGTACAACCCAAGGAAGAATCCATTACATTTTCAAGTGGATCTAGACAAGTGGATTCATATTTTGTAATTTAACGTGGTGAGGCGTTAGCCTTGGCAGAGGTTTGTCCTCTATAAGCACCCTTCTAGTTTTATGTGTGATATTATTAACTGCAGGAAGAAAACATGCATACTCACCCTCTGGTGTGTTTTCCTTTACATTGGCTCTAACGTGAGAATAGGTAAATAAAGGTGCATTGTCATTGATGTCCTGTACTTCTACATCAAAAGATAGTGAAGAGTCTGCATTTTCATTTTCCATTATGTTCCAGATATCAAACTTGATCTGTTGGTTAAAGAACAAATTAAGATGATTTCCAGTGATTAAAATAATCAATGAAAGTTATCTACTGTTGGAGGAACTGATATTCCAGTATGAAACTCACATGGAAGAAATTGTATTTCTCTCTGTCAATGGGTTTCTTGACATACAGGATTCCAGTGTCTTCATTGATCCAGAACGTATTCACTGGCTCCTCATCCACACCCGTTCCACTGATTTTGTACTTTGTGTTTTTCTTGTCTTCCTTGTCATTAGACAACTAGAGTCCAAACAAACACAACTGAGCTGTTTCCATATCTGAGTTGGGCAGAAAGGCTGCCACACTGGTCGGTCATTTAATTTACAAAATGAAGTCTTCACCTTTGTAAGCAGTTTTGGGTACGGACCAGGGTCCTCCTCTGTTAATTCGATCGTAGTTACAACCCACCTTCTTTTGGAACGCAGCAAAAGCTCCTGTGGATTAGTAAAGTTCACAGCTAATATCATTTTTGCTCAAATCAAAACATTTTAGCTGGACTGTGCAATTTCAAACACAAAATGATTACCCGCTTAGCACGCCTCATGTGCTTCCCATGGGGAAACTCTGCCAGGGCTGTTAATGCAACCTACAATGACAAGAAAACTAGATAGTGATCCGATGTAACTCCTTTAATCTATCACTGTCTCCCCGACACCCTCTCCATTTCATTCACTGTAATTTGTTATTCAGTTATAATCTATGTAGATTTCCACAACGTGTAGAACCACCTTCACATGCACATATGGGCAACATACAGTTTCCACACCATCTATTCTTTATGTCTTTAGACTGTGATGGAAAACCAAAGCAAAAGTCTTTGTGCACCTGTAAATTGAGTTAACCATTCAAGTTAAAGTTTAAGTCATCTCAGACATTTGGATCAATAACTGTATGAAATGTACTCATACAATTACCATGTCCACAACTTGAATTTCGTAGTTTAATCCATACAACTGGTTTTGTTTGATAAACTTAAATTTTAGAATAACACATTGACAACAACTAGACACTAAGTACATGTGCTATCATTTCTAAGTTTACAAGTTTGCTATAAATACAAACAATCACCTTTGTTATCATGTTCATTGTGAACCAAAACTGTTACTTCACTTAACTTACCAACAGAAGTAAGGAACAGGTCCTCATCTTGATCCACCCTGTCCAATATGCTCCGTGGGAGTGCTCCAAAAGAGTCAACACAGCTTGAGTAAGAGTGCGACAGCCCACAATACCTGCAGGCAGCAGGTTGGCTGACATTTACCAATAGCTGTCTGTTCCTGCATGCAGCTGTGCAATGTGATTCGTTGTTTCCTCACCTACAATTAGACCCAGTGGAGATGAGCTTCATACACATTTCCTATCAGTGTATGTGTTTCCATATGTGAATTAATTTTGGGAGAGTGTTTTTGTGAATACGATAAAGAGACTAAAGTGAACTCTACCATGTCATATTCTCACATACGTCACAAATGTCTCAGATTAATGTCCTGTAAGTATTAGATGGTGACTGGAAAAACATAACTTAAACTCATTGATGCATTATAGCTTACTCTCACTCATTCAGTCAGTCACGTACATTCAGTACTTCGTTACCCTACACACACACTGGATGTCGACACACATTTGTGTTTTTCTCTTAAAATAGAATAACATCTTACACGTTAACGGCACAATTGTCCGTTTCAAATAATAAGAGCATGAAAGTGTCCGGTTGCCACAGTGAATAATATTTGGCAAGTTTAAGTGTAACCCCGCCTATGTTATACCTTTCCCTTCAGTGTGATTGCCACCTGAGAATTTAGGGAACAGTCTGCAAGAATAGATCAAGGACAGAGTGAATGTTTATCTTTATCAAATGTGGTCAGTGATCGGTCACAAAAAAATGATGAAAGAATAACATAATAACTCTGATTTACTGATGTGCCAAAACACTCAGAGCTAACTACTCGTAAAGCTAATAGACGTACAATAAAGTATTTGTTATGTTGCCTGTTATGTTGCAGTATCCAGAACCTCAGATGAATGTGCTCACAATCCGCACTGGTCGTCCTTGTTGTGAAATACCCTGAATATTTATATTTCATTTCATGTCTGTAGGATGATTGACTTTAATCTGTACAACTATTGTATCATAATGGACCTATCTTGCAGTGAGTTCAGACCAGGCCATCAGACCAGCTCATCGTTGATTACACGTTGACTTTCCAACGCACTATGACTCAGTATCAATACATTACATGAGAACTCAGTACAGGGGACAGACCACACCCTACTACTCATATGCAAAGTTATGTGATTGCAACTTGCACAGTTCTGGATCCTATTTTATATTCATACATCTATCCTGAAAGATCCAATCACATGTGGACAGCTCTAAGTTTGTCTGGTTACATCAAAATCCATTCTGAATGTGTCTCCTGTGACCACTCGTGATCAGATTTCACTTCCACGCCTCATTCGCAAATACGTAAGAACGTCAGCTCTGTTTGCGACGACCAAAACATGTTCGACTATATGGATGTCTCCATTGTCACTGTGTTTGTGAGAGATCAGAGCCAGGAGGGGCTCATCAAAACAATCCATAAAGCTTAACAGTGAAACAATATTTTATATATTAAAACATTTAATCAATATGGGGCAATTCATATTATTATTGTGGTGGTGGCCGCAAATAGCTCAATGTATGGGCACTGATAAGTGTGCAATACTTTCAATTCTTGAATAAACTGGAGCCGATCAGAGACCATCTGTTGAGTATAGTTGGTTGTTTATTGTGGCACAGGACATATTTGTGTTCACACAGCTCAAAAAATGTGGCCACACGCCTCCCCAGACCATCTATGAATGTGGTCTGAGTGATGACAAATGACCTCTAATCCATCCTCAATGCATCTGGGGTGTGTTCGAGCTTGTAAGAGCTGTCACCTTCATGTGAACAGATCACTCAGGACAGATTTTGACACCAAACAGGGTCATGATGAACACGTGCCAGAGTTCAAAACTCCTGTAGTAGTTATTGCAATTGTATGTGACTCCATCACTACAAGCTGAGGTCGGGTCAAGGCAGAGATCTCTTAAACCTGCTCTGCAGTCTGGTATCTCAACCCTATAGGTTTAGCCGTCCCAGTAAAGTTCTTTACTTGTATTTCACAATGAGGTGTTACAGCTTAACCTTTTAGATTCCAAGCAATGGTCAATTATCTGCAGTTCAGGCAATTATTTTTCCCTCCACACACACAAAAATTGTAATGTGGTAACTGCCATAATTAAGAGATTAAGAGTCAAACATTGTAATACAATCAAAGTTTTTTACAAGTTTGTCTATTGTGACAGCTATGATGATTTTAAGTAACACTGTCCAACAACAGAGACTGTGGGTAATGAGTAGATGAGGACAAGCTCACTTTGTTTTAGCCTCGCCTGGGAAGAGGAGCGGAAGTTGACTCGAGCTATAGGGATGATTGATAGTGCCGAACAGGTAGAACTAGAAAGGACGGATTAATTAATGTTGACTTTGCTCACTGGTGTTAAGTTGCTTAGATTCACTGGAGTCTGAAATCATGAGAATTTAATGTTTTAGGGTATTATTATTAAACACAGGGTTTGCAGAGCTCTTTAGCATTGTCCGTGTTTTTGCCAGAATGTTTAGCATGACTTAATTTGTCACATTTAATTTCCAGAGAAGAGTAGACTTAATGTTTAACGGTGGTAAAACTACTACGAAGAAAAAGAAAGACAGAAAACCACTTACACCAAATTCAACTGGTTTGTTTTTATTAAGTTCATAGCAAGATGTCTGAGTGGGTAAGAGATGCACAACATTAATAACACTGTAAAATGGTTGTTTCATAATGTTGAGGATCCACATCTACACATCCACACACCCACACAGACACACATATTCTACACTGCATAAAGAAGGAAATCACTCACTCTTAACGTAACATACAGTATATTCAACTCTCAGACTACATCTCATGTGGATGAGAGGAGTAACTTGGTTTCAGGTGCAGGTAACAGCCGCGCCTTTCCATTCTGTAATGCAACACTTTGTAGGTACAGGTTCGAAAACATGAAATAGTCATTAACAAGAACAAAAAACAGCATGCATGTACAAACACAGCTCCTTTCATGATGCTGTGAACTGTCTGCACATGCACACAGCATCTGATTAATCATAATCAGTCGAGGAAGATAAACTTTTTGTTGTATTTTGCTCACTGTGCCTCATGTAGATCATCTGAAAACACAAAGGGACGATACATGATCCCTGCACAGTTTGCTCTCTAAGCCGCGTAGTCCCGATCTGTCAGTTTGAAGAATTGACTGTTTAAAGATGGATGACGTGACAGTTCCTCAAAAGTGAAGCTAAAGCGTCCTGATCACACCCTGTTGGCTGGCTGGCTGCAGTAAAGGTCATGAACCCTGCCACCTCCATCTTAGTGGATGGGAAATGGACCACACTTAAAAGTCAAATACATTTTTCTTTAAGATAACTTCTGTCATTTTAGGTAGTTCATTTCTTGAGGTTTTAATATGTCTATTCTAACCACATCACCACTGTGGTTCCACCCAACAACCGCCTCCAAAATATGCAAGATGGCAGAGATCGTATCTGGGTTACTTTGACTGTCTAGACAGGGTTAGGGAGGAAATGGAGATGTGTCGTGTATCTTTTTATATAGTCTATGGTTTGGAATCTAAATGCTACGCTACAAAGCCATTTTCCACCTGCAGACAAATAAAAAGCATAACCACAGGATGATAGACTAAATTGTTCACCACAGTTTTTGTAAATGTCTGCATTTGTTCAGTAAATGCAATATGGCTTCCCTTGGTTTTTGTTCTATTCATATTGTTCAGCCCAGAACGTCTGAGCTCCGGGACCTTCAGGCATTACACGGCTGCTCTGCAGCTGTTGCTTTGAAGTCGTTCAAAAAAAGGGAGAGGAGGTAAACAGCAATAGGAACAAAACTTTAACTGACAATCATCTCGGCCAGAACATGTTAGTGCATGGGAGTGATGGGACTAATTAAATCATTAGGATCTCAACAAACACAGAGTATCTAAGAGGTACTCAGGAACATAGTTGATTTTGAGTTGTACAGAAGACACAGTGAATCACAGCCAGGTCAACCATGCTAGGGTTCTCCCCAAAAGAAAGGAATGCAAATGTAGAGACTCAGACAGAAGGATGTCAGACTCCTCTGCCCTCTCTTGCAAGGCATCTTTCCTCCTCCTCCTCCTCCTCTGTTTCTTCATCCCTGGTTTGGGGAACAGAGGTCAGCAACAGAGTGTCGGCGTGGACTTCTTCATCGTCAGACTGGATCACAGGCGTCTCCTCTCCGGCCCCACTGGTGTCGCTGGAACCAGATGATGTGGACGACATGCGAGAATTGGTGCTGCGGTGGACTTCCTTTTGCCGCTTCAAAGGTGCACGCTCCCTGTAGACCACCTCCGCATCTTCGTCCTCCTCATCTTCGTCCTCATCCTCACACTCTGTGAACGAAAGCAAGTAGAAGGTGTCAGCACTTGCCAGCGTTATAGTCATCTCAGGAATAGTGTAGCAATCTATCAAGTTTCCCCATAGTTGTGATGTGCTTGGGTGGGCTGTGCATTGTAGATTTGAAAAAGTCCCAATATTACTTTGTATTTCCAATTCAATTTTGTTCAGATTTATTTCCAAGTGTATACAACCTTGTTTTTGTAATGAGTCCCAGTGCTGTTTTGCAGCAGACTCTCAGGTGATGATTTACAGTTTTGATAAACCACAGATAAATTCTCTACGGGTAATTTTCACATCAAAGCAACCGACAACAGTGGTAAACCGAAAGAATGTATTGCTGAATGGCTTCAATTGAAAATACAAATCATCCCAATGCCTTTTATGACTCACCTGAATAAATTAGAAAGCAGATTTAATCTTAAAACATTTTTACATTAGACAAAAGAAAATAGAGATCACCAGAACTTTTATTATGTTTGTGAATTTCATGAATATTAATTGAATTTGAACTCCACTAAAAGACAAACTCTGTTTCAAGGACTAATGGCTGAAGGCCGTTTTGAAGTAAACTGTGCACCTGGTAGTGGGGAAGCCAGCGCTCCGTCGTCTGCTCCAGAGCCAGAGTTTAGAAACACATCTAGAGCCTCCTGGTCAGAAATGTCCATCAGGTCCATCTGCTCCAGGACGTCCACATTCACTTCCATGGATGAGATACTGCCCATTGGAGCTGTGTATATGAGCACAGCAGCGTGCATGGTGTTAACAAACACGTTACATATCTCAAGTGGCACGTTCGTATCTTCAAAAGTTGAACAGTGAGAAAACAAAAATATTTCACGTCCACTTTTCATTTAATCATTCATGCTGCTACGTTGAAATAAGAGGACTTGCTCACGTTTCCTGCTGTCGATCTGCAAGTGAGCAGAGGGCAAGTAGTTATCAACATCGTGCTGGTAGACCTCCTCAAAGAAGCGCTGTCTCTCCCTCATCTTCAGGTGCTGGGTAGAATCGTTATCCAACAACCGCTGAGAGTTGTCCGTCTCCGCTGACCAATAAAAAAATACGTAATAAGTTAAAACATGAACTATTAATGCAGTACACTGTGTCTGAATATTAAATATGTCCTTCTGCCTGACACACGAGGACTTGATACTTGAAATGTTTAGGAAAGCTTGGAAAGAACACGAAGCATGTAATGACCGATTTGTGTCTGGGCACGGCTCTTTGTTGTACGTCGTCTTGTCTACAGAGTCATATATTTCCCCCAAAATATTGATAAATCTTAATTCAGATGTAGATGTTAGGCTTCAAGTGCTGATGTTTGTCCTTTGAGCTGTTAACTAACCTCTGATGGGCACCAGTGGGAGAAACTGCAAACAAAGTCTGTGTATTCTCATTATGCTGTTTGCCATTTCAATTCATGAGAACAAGTCCTGTCATATCCCACAATTATCTGGTGGCTTTCACTTTTCTGTACTTTTGCCAAACTGAAAAATGATCTGATGAATAACTATAGAAAGAGTTCACGCCTAAAACTGAATACCTATCAGTGAAGACGTTGCCAGCGTTTGATATATTTCGGTTTTTTGTTGAACACTAAACAATGTGGCATTTTATCTCAGATTTCAATCATTTGAGCTATCGCTGCTCAGATGTTTGAGTTTCTCATTTTGGGAATCTGCTGCTTTTCTCAATTATTTTACATCACCCTCCCTTTTTCCATCCACTGCTCTTTCTGTGACTTTTCATAAGGCAAAGGCAACCTTCTCACTAGATTGGTCTGACCTCTAGTGGTCATAATCACACTCACGCGTTTACATGAATATCTCCTGCAACTATATTTTAAAGGAAGCCTTTGTGGGAAGTGGCCCAAATTGCACAGTGTGTGTGTGTGTGTCTGTCTGTCTGTCTGTCTCTCTCTGTCTGTCTCTGTCTGTCTGT